AGGATTCCGTTGGATCCTAAGGCCGTTGCCACTGCGACTGTCATTGCGAATGCGACTGCGACTGCGAGAACAGCAGAACTCTACAACTGGATTCTCACCTGAATATCCGCCGGCCCCCTTGTGGGGCCACCAGGCTGTAGGCGCGGGTTCGCAGTTTCCTGTACCAGTTGTAGCTTGTAGTTTCCAGTGTTACAGTTCTGCTTCTTGCTGGTTACTGTAACTAGTTGATTGACCGCGCGAGGGGGGGGAGGTCCAAACCAGATATTTAGCACCTCCTGGGCGCGTTGTCTGAATTGCTGGGGGGGCTCGAAATCGACACCCCTCACACAGATCGGCGGGGTCAGGGTTCAAAAACACAGGGGAGTTGCCACATTTCTGAAATTCGGTGCCACCCCTCACGCAGATCCGCGGGGTCAGGGTCCAAAAACACCAAGGATTTGCCACATTTCTGGAATTCCGTGCCACCCCTCACGCAGATCCGCGGGGTCAGGATCCAAAAACACATGGGATTTGCCACATTTCTGAAATTCGGTGCCACCCCTCACGCAGATCCGCGGGGTCAGGGTCCAACATGATCGACCCACGAACCCGGAAAGGAATTTATAAATGTAAGACATGGCAACGTTTCAAAGACACCTGATTGGGCGACGGGCAAATGCAATGCTTAGTGTATCGATCTTGATGTACCGTGCCGAGGGCTGTGCGGTGCTGCGCCGCGCTGAACTGCGATGTGCCATGCAACGATTGTGCTCTATAGCGTTGTGGATCGAGTCCTCCTTTGCATCCGAGTCCTGACCGAACTGATCTGGATCTTAAGCTCGAGCTGCCTAAGCACATAACTAGTAGCTGCCCCAGAGCTGATTGACAAGGGAACCTGCCAGGAGGACGCGCCGCAGAACGTCCCAAGGGACGCGCCAGGCGACGTGCCAGGGGACGTGCCATGGGGACGCACCGCGGGACGTGCCAAGGGGACGTGCTACGGAACGTGCCAATGGACGTGCCACGGGACGTGCCAAGGGACGCACCAAGCGAGGTGCCAGGGGACGTGCCAGGGGGACGCACCGTGGGACGTGCCAAGGGGACGCGCCACGGAACGTGCCAATGGACGTGCCACGGGACGTGCCAGGGGACGCGCCGCGCGACGTGCCAGGGGAACTCGCCACAGGACGCGCCACGGAACGTGCCAAATTGCAATGCTGAGTTGATCGATCTTGATGTACCGTGCCGAGGGCTATGCTGTGCTGTGCTGCGCCGTGCTGAACTGCGATGTGCCACGTGACGATTGTGCTCTATAGCGTTGTGGATCGAGTCCTCCTTTGCATCCGAGTCCTGACCGAACTGATCTGGATCTTAAGCTCGAGCTGCCTGAGCACATAGTAGCTGCCCAAGAGCTAATTCACGGGGGGCATGCTAGGAAGACGCGCCGCGGAACGTTCCAAGGGACGCGCCAGGCGAGGTGCCAGGGAACGTGCCATGGGGACGCACCGCGGGACGTGCCAAGAGGACGCGCTACGGAACGTGCCAATGGACGTGCCACGGGACGTGCCAAGGGACGCGCCGCGCGACGTGCCAGGGGGACTCGCCACAGGACGCGCCACGGAACGTGCCAAAGAACGTGCCAGGTTGCAATGCTGAGTGAGTGTATCGATCTTGATGTACCGTGCCGAGGGCTGTGCTGTGCTGCGCCGTGCTGAACTGCGATGTGCCATGCCGCGATTGTGCTCTATAGCGTTGTGGATCGATTCCTCCTTTGCATCCGAATCCTAACCGAACTGATCTGGATCTTAAGCTCGAGCTGCCTGAGTACATAGTCCACGTAGTAGCTGCCCCAGAGCTAATTGACAAGGAAACATGCCAGGAAGACGCGCCGCGGAACGTTCCAAGGGACGCGCCAGGCGACGTGCCAGGGGACGTGCCACGGGGACGCACCGCGGGACGTGCCAAGGGGACGCGCTACAGAACGTGCTGGGGATAAGCGTCGTGTTGGTGGCCTGGACACGTAAAAGCACGGTGCCAGCTCGGGACAACCATGAAAGATATCCCTAGGGTGGCCTGGACACGTACAAACACGCGGTTCCAGCTCGGGACAATCATGTTAGAGATCTCCCTGGGTGGCCTGAGCATGAAATTACACTACACCCGCGCTCCCAGGGCCACGATCCCTCGTAAATTACGATACGTCAGCGCTCCCAGGGCCACGATCCCTCGTAAGGGCTCCTGGGCCCTCCTGGGTCTTCCTTGGACCTCTTGGGCCCTCCTGGGCTCTCCTGGAGCCTCCTGGAGCTTCTCCTGGGCCCTCCTTGGGCCCCCTGGTGCCTCTTGGAGCCTCCTGGGTCCTCCTGGGCCCTCCTGGGCTCTCCTGGGCCCTCCTGGGCTCTCCTGGGCTCTCCTGGAGCCTCCTGGGCCCTCCTGGGCGAAGTCAAGGTCCGAAAACACATGGGACTTGCCACATTTCTAAAATTCGGTGCCACCCCTCACGCAGGTCGGCGGGGTCAAGGTCCGAAAACACAAAGGATTTGCCACATTTCTGGAATTCCGTGCCACCCCTCACGCAGATCCGCGGGGTCAGGGTCCAAAAACCAAGGGAATTTGCCACATTTCTGAAATTCGGTGCCACCCCTCACGCAGATCGGCGGGGTCAGGGTCCAAAAACAGAGGGGATTTGCTACATTTCTGGAATTCCGTGCCACCCCTCACGCAGATCCGCGGGGTCAGTGTCCAAAAACACAAGGGATTTGACACATTTCTGGTATTCCGTGCCACACCTCACGCAGATCGGCTGGGTCAGGGTCAACAAAAACACAAAAAGGATTTCTGTTATTTCCGAACTTATGCAACTTTAAGAATCCCAAACTCCGTTCCCAGCGCCGTTCCGGAGGCCGCGGTACCTCGTTATTTATCGAGCGAACGCGTTTACATCGTTTTTTAGCGTTTAAAGTCGATGTCGGAAACAAGTGGACTTCACCTGTGAAATATCGAGGTTTCCTTAAAGGCAGTAAAATTCCAAGAGCACGATCTGCGTGAGGGGTGGCGAAAAATGGCCTTCGTCCTCACAATTGAAATCCGCCGGCCCCCTTCGACCTCGTAATTTATCGCACAAGAATTCTGCCAGACCCCTTCAAGTAAAAACCGGGGGGTAAACCAACTAAAAGAAAACCCTGGGCCCACGCCCCTTCCAGGAAAAACACAAGGGATTTGCCACATTTCTGAAATTCGGTGCCACCCCTCACGCAGATCGGCGGGGTCAGGGTCCAAAAACAGAAGGGATTTGCCACATTTTTGAAATTCGGTGCCACCCCTCACGCAGATCCGCGGGGTCAGGGTCCAAAAACAAACGAGATTTGCCACATTTCTGGAATTCCGTGCCACCCCTCACGCAGATCCGCGGGGTCAGGGTCCAACAAAAACAAGGGATTTGCCACATTTCTGAAATTCGGCGCCACCCCTTACGCAGATCCGCGGGGTCAGGGTCCAAAAACAGAGGGGATTTGGCACATGTCTGAAATTCGGTGCTACCTTCACGCACATCCATCGCAAGGCGTGGTAACCCAAACTGCGAGAACTCCCTCGGCCCTTTAATCGCAAGGTGTGGTAACCAAGCCCGTAAACCATACACGTCTTACCAATCGCCAGGTGTGGTAACCCCTCTTGTGATCAGTTGGTTTTGCTGATTGCGAATCGGCTTCGCATGAAGTTTCGAGACTGCTTCACGACAGCGCCAAGGCCTCATGACTTAGCTCTTCCATGGCCCATTCTCCGAGAGAGGGGGCCGGCGGCAGGGGGCGAAGCCCTTACGGATTAAGGGGGGTGCTTCCAGATATGCTTATGCACATCGCCGTTAGGTTGCTTTGCCGGGATACAGAGTGTGCAGGCAATACATCAAGCCAGATACAACGCAAGACTGGAAAACCAAGACCTTCTTGAGAAGTGAAAATTTCGCATGTTTCCAAAGGTTGCACAAACTATGGAACTGCTTGTACGCTGTGCAGATCCTTCTGTTCAGCTCAAGGCCGCTGCCGCCGTCGGCGTTCAGCAACCCACCCAAATAGATCATGGTGTCCCTCTGCGGGGTTGTTGACCCGTCTGGTCGGCCCATATGTGTTTCGCATCCCGCGGACAAAACCTCGCGCTTGCCCCACTAGAACCCCAATCCGTAGTTTCCCTCGGCCTCGCGCGCGCGCAAGCTTGCTAAAGGTGTCTCTGGCCCGAGGTGCCCCCAGCTTTTTGCTCCGTTTGGGAGCCCCTGGGGCCCTCTGGGCCTCGTAAGGGTTGCTCTGAAGGCCTGGGGGGCCTCCTTGGAAATCCTCGGGGCACCTCGGGCCAGGGGCACTCCTGCAGAGGAACGGAGGACGGCATTACCATACAACTCTTGCAGCTCCGCGCTGATTTCTTGTATCTGAGATGGAGCCCCCTGGCCGGCACGCGGAGCGCGCCCGGGGCGGCGCTGGAGGCGCCGCCAAGGGTGGCGCAGCGCCGATCCAAGGAATCCGCGCGGAGCGCCGGAAGTTGATGTTTGTGCCCTATTGTCGAGTATGGGGGTCGACTGCAGCATTGATTTACTCCAATCTGGATTTTCAATCGAATCGGCGAAAAAGAGGAAGATCGTTTCGTAGACCTACCAGCATGCTGCGCTCTTGCTCGCAGATTCTCGTCGGGGAAGCCTATCTGGGGACCGAACTATCCTGTGTCGCCGATCCCCTGCTCGATGATTTGTGGTTCTTCGAGCTTCCAGCAACACCCGCAGGGGGGGAGATCTGGGCTTAGGTCGGGCATGTCCCCCTTACAGGGGGATGTTGAACGAAAAATCTAAAAACATTCAGAACATAATCCAACAATGCTCAAACATAGTGAAAACATCGTCCCCAGACTCGTCCCCAGACTATTGTTTGCCTATTTGGGAAAATTCCTCCTGTAGAGGGGCACGCCCGACTTAAATCTGAGCCCTGGGGGGGAGCCCTGCGGAGCCGCCGACTCTTTTGGCCCGCCGAAGGGGGCCGGGCCTGCGGCGCGGGAGCGCCCTGTCCGCCGCCAGCGGCGGCCCGGGCTGACTGCGAGCCGTCCTCTCGGGAGGCAGAAGCCGCCGGGGAGCCGAGAGGGGGGCGCCCCTCCTCCTCCTCCTCCTCCTCCTTCTCCTCCTCCTCCTCCAGGCCCACCAGGATCTGTCGTCCCTGGTGGTTGGCTCGAGGGACTGGTTTGTTGCAAAAGGAAATGACTGGGCGGACAAGGTGGCCAAACAAGCTGCTGCCAGAATCCCCGCCCCGTCCCAGAGAGAAATCTAGTATTATAAAGAATGCCGTAGCCGAGTTCAGAGGCTTGTGAAAAATGCTGCTGAGGCGCTCTCCGTGTGGGCCCCTCTCGCTCCGAAGTCGGGCAAGAAGGCCTACGAGAAGCCCGCCCAGAGCCTCAGCCCCTCAGTCGGGGCAGCGGGAGCAGTCAGCCAGTGGACTGCACCACCCCCGCCCCCTGGGGGTCGTCCTCGGCGTGCTCGTGCGTGCCGTAACCCCCAGGGCGTGGTCAGACATCAGTGGGCATGGCTTAATAGTCACTGGCTGTGCCTAGCGTGTCATACCCGCGCCCGTACTGACAATTCCCGCAAGGCCCGCATGCGAGAACCATGCCCAGGTAATTCAGCCATGTTGTCAAAGCTAATTCGGGAACCCCAGAAGCACCATTTAATGATATGCGATTACCTTGATGTCGAGTCCTTCCTAGTCATTTGTAAGATGTGCGGCCGCTACAGCGAAAACAACCTCAAAGGACTCAACGGTGAATGCAAGGAGCGCTTCCAAAGCAAGTTCTCCCAAAGTGCGTGGTCCCTCCTGGCTAGCGGCCGTCATCCCAAGAGTCGTATGAAGGCCCGCCCCCGACTTTCCCTGCCCATCCCTGCGGCCCAGCTCCTCAAGGAAGGAGGGGCGACGTAGTGACGAAAGTGAGCGTAAGGGGAGAGCGGATGTAACCCTCAGGTTTCGGTTAGGGTCGGGTCGGCCTAACCCTAGCCTTCCTCATTAGCATGCGATGGTCCTCCTCCTCCTCCTCCTCCTCCTCCTCCTCCCAAGTTCCTGACCCCTCGAGTCATGAAAGGAGCGCGACGGATTTCTGGGTTCGCGAATTTCGGCCTCTGGGGGCCCAACTCTGGGCCTCGGGGCCGTCAAGAAACGACTCAGGATGAAAAGCAGGTCCCGGGGAATGGGTCGAGACCTCTGGGGGTCGACGTCATGGGAAACGCATGCGCCCCTCCTCCTCCTCCTCGTCCTGCGCCTCCTCCTTCCTGCTCCTCCCTTTTGGCTCAAGGCATCAAGGGTCAAGGGATCATGGTACAGCTCAACACAGCACCCCATTTCACACGTATAGCACAGCCAATGGAAGCATCCGTGTTGGCGCTGACCAGCGCCTGGCTGGTCCGAAAGGATCGGCGACAAGCTAATTACAATGGCGCGCGATATGGGTAGGATCGACTCCAAGTTGACTCTGCTGCCCCGGTTAACTGGTACCACAACCATAAGGGTAGAGATAAGAAGCAATCATCGCCCCAACAAGACCATACCTCGGAGACTCAAACACCCTCAGGTCGACTCCAAGTTGACGGAAATAGAGCTGATGATCAACCGCCTCACGGACAAGCTGGACGCACTGTCTGGCAGACTCGACCTCGACACGGGCACGAACGACAACCGACACAGACAGCCAGATGATGTCCGCGCGCTGGCCACCGCCTTTGATTTGAACATGGGGCGGATGGAGATGCTCTTGTTCAAATATCGGGAAGAGGAGCAGACAAGAGATGGACGAGGAGGATCTCAACGACAGAATGGACGAGGAAAACACTGCTGTGGATGCCAAGAGCCAGGAACAAAGCGTGGAGAAGGCAGAGGCGGCCGATCGCAAGAGGGCTCCCGATCAAGATGGCTGGCAAGAGATGCCAGCATGGCTCCAGCGTTACCTGGATGCATGGGACGAGAAGTACGGCGGCCCAGACATCTTGGACAAGCGCGGCATGAAGCTTCCAGGAGCAGGCACATCGCAAACACGTACGCGCTGAAGCTGCACACCCTACTGCGAGTTTCTTACCAAGCGTTGGGGGGGGAGTCACCCCCGCCGACAGCCCCACATCCACCCCGTCGCGGGCAGCCACCGCGCGCCGAAGGCGCTCCGACCCCCGTCGCAGCGCTACGACGAGGCGAGGTCGACCCCCGTCGGGGGGTACCCCCCACGCGTATTAAGACACACAGACTAGGGGCCAAGGCCCCCCCCGCTGTCGCCCTGGAGGGCGGCCCAGACACCGTGGGCAAGCACGGCATGAAGCTTCCAGAAGCAGGCGCATCGCGAACCCTAGCTGCCCCGATACGCAACACGCAACACGTAGCGTGTGAACACGGAGCTCGACACGTAGACTGAAAACGCAGGTCTGGCGCGAAGCACTCGCCACGACGTGGACCAACACGTTGAGCCAATAAGACCACGTATGGACACGAACGTTTTGAACACGGCACGTGCTGCGTTTCGAAACGGGCGTATCAAGGCAGCTACGTCGCGAAAACGTACGCGCTAGAGCTGCACACCTTGGGGGCCAGGGCCCCCCCCGCCGTCGCCCTGGAGGCGCGCGGCCGCGCCCGGCCGCGGCGTCGGAGTCCGTCCGTACCTCCTCCTCCAGCTCCTCCCCCTCCTCCTACTTTTCCTCCTCCTCCTATTTTTCCTCCTCATACTGTTCCTCCGCGTCCTCCTCCTTCCTCCTCCTCGTCCTCCAGCTCCTCCTCCTCCTCCTTTCGAACCTTTCGATCGCGGCCCCAAGTCGCTCTCGCGACGCGGCCGATGTCTCCTCCTCCTCCTCCTCCTCCTCCTCCTCCTCCTCCTCAGGCTCCTCAAGGCTCAGGACTCACTGCGGACATTTGGTTCCCTCTAAAGGTCTGCTCCGCCTCCTTCTCCTCCTTCCCGCTATGACATGAAGCCCCAAGTAAAAACATCAAGTCGAATTCAGCCACATGGAGCCCTGGATTTTGCCGCATTCGGCGGGATCATGCGAGATCGGTAACGGATCTGCCAACGCCGATGCTGAACTTACCTCCGAGAGGCTGCATCCTAAGGGGAGGAGGGAAGAGGGGCGAGAGGACGGCCAGGAGGAGGAGAAGGCGGGACAGGAGGAGGAGGAGGAGGAGGAGGAGGAAGAGGAGGCGGGACAGGAGGAGGAGGAGGAGGAGGAGGAGGAGGATCCTAAGAGGACGTGGGCAGGGTGCAGGAGAGAAAGGGGCAGGAGGACAGCGAAGAGCCCGAGACGAGCGCGAGCAGAGCCGCGTCCCCGACGGCCCCTCGTGCGAAGGGGCTGGGCAAGCGCGCCCCCCTGCGCGCGCGGCGCGCCACTCCTGCGCCCGCTCGTCCGACAGCGGGTCCTGGGAGGCGCCAGGGGCGAGGGGGAACGCCAGTGGGGGGGGGACGTTTCGGCTTCGACGTTAGGGGGGGAGGGGGGGGGGACGTCGGGGGGAACGTCAGGGGGGGTGGGACGTCAGGTGGGGTGGGAACATCAGGGGGACGTCCGAGGGCAACGTCATAAGGGGACGTCATGGGGGGGTGGGAACGTCAGGGGGACGTCAGGAGGGACGTCAGGGGGGAACGTAGAGGGGAACGTCACGGGGGCAGATGGGGACGTCAGGAAGGGCTCGAGGCGTCCCCGACGTTTTCTTCGCAGTTCTCGACGGCCTTCCAGCCTCGACTGGGTGAGCCCTCGTGGGAGCCTCCGTGGACCTCCGCGGCCGTATCACAAACGTAGTTTCGACCGGATCTCGCCCAGACTTCGACCACCCTTCTTCACCCTTCCGTCCACAGATCTAGTCCAGGTGGCGACCAAATCCGGCGAAATCTGGACGAAATCCCCAAAGCTGCGAGGATGTGGCTGACATGTTGGTGTTCCCATCGCACTGAAGAACCACATCCCAGACATATTCCACCATCACTTTGGGGCGTAGGTTGTCTAGCGAGCTTTCTGTTCCAACCCCCTTTTTCACCTTCGGGGAGGGGTTCATCACTGCTCCCTATTGATGTGCACCTCTTTCCCCACTCAGCCAGCGTCCAATCCTGAACCACGCCGACTCCATGAGGGCCCGCCCCCCCCTCCATCCCTGTCAAAAAACCAAGCAAACCGCACTCTGCCTCCACATTTGGAGCATGCGCGGCCAACCCGATGCGGCCCCCCCACACCATCCCTGCCAAACAACAATGCAAAGTACACATTGGGGCAAATCTTGAGCCATGTTCGCGAGGCCCGCGAGCATTTCGTATTGTTTTTGACAGGGACGGCGGGGGTGTCAGCATATCCCCTGCTGTGCGCAGGGCTACCATCCCTGACAAAAAATCCAACATGCACCTCGCGGCTAGGTAAATCTGGATCATGTGCGGCCATCCCGCGATCACTGTCAAGTGGTTTTTGACGGGGACGGCGGGGGTGGTGGCGCGTGGCCTGCTGTGCGCAGGCCCACCAGACACAATGATGGGCATTGGTTTTCGACAAGGATGGCGGGGGCCGACATGATTCCCGATGAGTGCTGCCACGTGCGCAGACGCACCTGACGCACTCTGCACGTGCCCCGAACGTGGCGCACTTGGCGCGGCTGGAGTGTACGGCACACCCGGCGCACTCGGAGCACGTGGCGCATCTGGCGCACCAGGCGTGCCTGGCACGCCCGGGCCCCATGGGGTGCCTGGCGCGCATGGCGCCCCTGGCACGCGTGGCGCACCTCGCCCAAGCGTCGCGCACCTGGGGTCAGCGTTGGTTCCCACTAGCTGCCCATCCAACGACGACCGCTGAACATGCTCAGGCCCAGGTGATTCTTATGTGTTGGGAGGGCGGGTGGGAGTGAGCTAGACGGCTTGCGGGCGGGTGGGTAGCCTGACCACTGTTCCTTATTAAAATGCCCCCCTCCCCTAAGCGACCAGGGGCCAACCAGGCACCATGCCGACACCATGCCGACCCGCCCCCCCCCTCCCTGCCAAAAAACCGTACAAACCGCACTCTGCCTCCACATTTGGAGCATGCGCGGCCAACCCGATGCGGCCCCCCACAACATCCCTGTCAAAAAACAATGCAAAGTACACGTTGGGGCAAAGTCTTGAGCCATGTTCGTGAGGCCCGCGAACACTTCGTATTATTTTTGACTAGGTGGCAGCATATTCCCTGCTGCGCGCAGGGCTACCATCCCCGACGAAAAAAGGCAACATGCACCTCGCAGCAAAAAAAATGATCATGTGCGGCCATCCCGCGATCACTGTCAAGTGGTGTTTGACAGGGACGGCGGGGGTGGTGGCGCGCGGCCTGCTGTGCGCAGGCCCACCAGATACAATGATGGGCATTGGTTTTCGACAAGGATGGCGGGGGCCGACATGATGCCCGATGAGTGCTGCCACATGCGCAGGCGCATCTGACGCACTCTGCACGTGCCCCGAACGTGGCGCACCTGGCGCGGCTGGAGTGTACGGCACACCTGGCGCACTCGGAGCACGTGGCGCATCTGGCGCACCAGGCGTGCCTGGCACGCCCGGGCCCCATGGGGTGCCTGGCGCGCATGGCGCCCCTGGCAATCGTGGCGCACCTCGCCCAAGCGTCGCGCACTTGGGGTCGGCGTAGTTCCCAGTAGCTGCCCATGCAAAGACGACCGCTGAACATGCTCAGGCCCGGGTGGTACTTATGTGTTGGGAGGGCGGGTGGGAATGAGCTAGACGGCTTGCGGGCGGGTGGGTAGCCTGACCCCTCTACCGACACCCTCCCCTGAACCTCGAGGGGGGGGGGTTCGCGAGGCGTTGGAGCGTCCAAGATGGCCCAAGACGGCTCCAAGAGGGCGTCAGAGAGCCCAAGATGACCCCCAGGGTGGCTCAAGATAGCCTAAGATGCTCCTAGAAGCCCCAAGACCGCTCCAAGACGGTTCCAAGTGGCCACGGAACCTCCCCAGGAGGCCGCCAAGAGGCCAGAGTCCTTCAAACACCAGAGGGCAATCAATGAATATTGCCTTTTTCGCTTCCGATGGCCTTCCGAGGCTTCAAGACAGCTCCGAGAGGGCCCATGAGGGCCTCACGAGAGGCCCAAGAGAGCCGCAAAACAGCCCCAAGAGCGCCCAAGAGCGCTACAAGAGCGCCCCAAGAGGCGATGTTTGGCGCTCTCGAAGGGGGGGTCGTAATTAGAGCTCTCATCTTGGTTGATCGACCTCCTACCCCAAAGACGGTTCAAGAGGGCCCCGATACGCCCAGAGATCGGCCCACCGCGCAAGATTGCCCCCCAGTCGGCCCAGGAGGCCTCCAAGACGCCCCGAGAAGCCTCCCAAGTGGACCCCAAAAGGCTAAGATCATTGATGGTCCATGGTTTTTAACTGTTTTGGGCGTTCTCGCCCTTTCGGCTTCCCGACGCTCCCAAGAAGCCCCCAAGAGGCCTCCAAGACAGCCCAAGAGGCTTCCAAGGGGTCCTCAAGGAAAGCCCGAAGTGGCCAACATCATCGATGTTCCTTCGGCGTTTCACAGATTTGCGCGTTTGCTTCTTGTCGGCCTGCCGACGGCCCAAGACGGCCCCAGAGGCCCCCGAGATCGCTCCAAGATGGCCCCCGAAGCCTCCAAGCTGACCCCATGACGGCTCAAGAAGTCTCCAGTAAGCCTCCAAAACGGCCCAAATAGGATCCGAGGACAGCCCAAGAGAAACCAAAGACGCCCAAGATGGCTTCCAAGACGGCCCTGAAGCGCCCCAAGAGTGCTCAAAGTCGTTTCAGAGATGCATCTAAGACGGCTTCCGACGGCGTCAAACGGGCCAGGAATGCTGAAAGACAGCGAGAGAGGCCCCCACGAGACCTCCAAAAGGCTCCCAGGAAGCTCCCAGGAGGCCCCAAGAGTGGCCCCAGAGGCTCTCAAAAGGCCTCCTCCACCTCCTCCTCCCGTTTTCCTCTTGTGTCCTCCCTCTCCTACTCCTCCGCTTCCTCCCCCACATGTTCCCCGCCAGTCTTCCACAACGGCCGGGGGAGCACATGGGTACAACAGCGTGGCCAAACTTTGCTCAAACGTTTGGCCACGTAGGCGAATCCTTAAAGGCAGGGGGCGGCAGTGATTCGCCGTAAGCGTCTTCGATAGCCTCTATCCTAGCTTCTGCCCCTGGGCTCCCTTCTGCGCCCGTTCGGTATCCGAGCCATTTCGACCGCCGAGCGAACTCGAGATCGAGCCCACTCGGCGGCCCAGCGGGCTCACTTCCCACGAGCGCTGTCGGATCCGAGTCCGTCCGGCTGCCCACTCGGCGGCCGAGCGGGCTCAGACGCCGAGCGAGCTCGGAAACGGCCGTGAGGACGAGGGGGTCAGCATAGGGCACGACCTACACCGTGCTTTGGCGATGTCGTGTACCGTTTTCGCTCTGACTCCGTTCTGCAGCATGAGGCGGAACGAAGACAGAACGAGAGAGAATACGAGCGCAGAGTGAGAACGGCAAACGCTGTTTAGGTCGAGCCATGGCCAGCATTAGGTCGGGCATGTCCTCCTACCAGGGGGTTTTGGACGAATGATAAAGAATCGTCTGAAATACTCAAACTAGTCAAAAAAATAGCAGGAAAATCGTTACCATACGAATGTTTGACTATTTTTGAATTTTCCTCCTGTAAGGGGACGCGCCCGACTTAACCCCAGCATGGGCGCGCGGAGGCGCCGGCCTAGCCGCGCCCGCACTGCTTGCGTTTGCTGCTGCCTGCTCCCCTTCCTCTCCTCCCCTCCCCTTCTGCTGTCCTCTTCCTCCTTTCTAGCCGCGGGGCGACCTCCTCGAGCTGGTGCCAAAAAGTGTGCCCCCCTGCTTTTGGGGCAGGGCTCTCCCGCCCCGTCCAGATCCGCTCCGCGTCCGTCCCAGAGAGATCCCCCCATGGGGACCCTCCCGGCCCGTGCCTCGGGGCGGAGAAGGCTCCGGGAGCCCCCCACGAGGACGACAGAACCTCGCCGCCGCTGCTTGGCTGCTCGGAGGCGACGGGAGGAAGACCAGGACAGAACAGGACGGCACACGGCAGAAGACGAGGACGGAGGCGAAGACGACAGGCGCCCGGAGAGGACAGAGACGAGGACAGAGACAAGGCGCCATGAAGAGCAGGACGGCGACGAGGACGACAGGCCGGGGGGAGCTGCCGCTGCCTCGACTCCTCCGATTGGTCCCTCCGAGGTCCAGCTGGCGGGGGCCCCTGGCGGTGGCCGCCCCCTTGGGGGGCGCCTGGCGCGCCATCGCCCGCGGCGGGCAGGAGCTCGGCCACACGCGAGAGAGCGACCTCTGGGCACCCCCGTGAGGCTTGGCGCGCGCCTCGCCGGTCCCAGCGCACACCCCCCAGACCCCCTCGACCCTCCTCCTCCTCCTCCTCCTCCTCCTCCTCCTCCTCCTCCTCCTCCTCCTCCTCCTCATGCTTCTCCTCATGCTCCCTCTCCTCCTCGTCCCCCTCATGCTCCTCCTCCTGCTCCTCCTCCTCCTCCTCCTCCTCATCCCCATCCTCCCCCTCATGCTCCCTCTCCTCCTCCTCCCCCTCCTGCTCCCCCCTCCTCCTCCTCCTCCTCCTCCTCCTCCTCCTCCTCCTCCTCCCTCCAGCTTTTCCTCCTCCTCCTCCTCCAGCTTCTCCTCCTCCTCCTTCTCCTCCTCCTCCTCCCCAGTTCCTGACCCCCTCGAGTCACGAAAAAAAAAACGGGCCGACTGCGGGCCGTCCTCTCTGGAGGCAGAAGCCGCCGGGGATCCGAGGGGGGGCGCCACTCCTCCTGCTCCTCCTCCTCCTCCTCCTCTCCTCCTCCTCCTCCTCTTCTCATCCTCCTCTTCTCCTCCTCCTCCTCCTCCTCTCCTCCTCCTCCTCCTCCTCTTCCTCCTCCTCCTCCTCCTCCTCCTCCTCCTCCTCCTCCTCCTCCTGCTCCTCCCCAGTTCCTGACCCCCTCGAGCCATGAAAGAAGCACGACGGATTTTCTGGTTCGCTGGTTTCGGCCCCTGGGGGCCCCCACCGGGCCTCAAAGAACGACTCGGGATGAACAAAAGCCGGTCCCAGGGAAGGGGTCGAGGCCTGACCTCTGGGGGTCGACGCTGGGAACAAATTGCGACGTCAAGGGTCTGGGCCCTCAAAGCGGCACGTCTGCGCCCGTGGCGACAGCGGAGGTGCAGAAGCCAACGCCTCGCTCGAGACATCCTCCCGACCTGCGCGGCGCAAGCAGAGAGGGGTCGGGCCACGAAGCAAGCCAACCGCCTGCGACATCCCCGCGATCCGAGCACGAGCGGACCCGTGCAACGCCCTCTCGCGGCGCCCCTCCCCCTTAGGGCGCTGAAGCCAGCGCCTCGCTCGAGACATCCTCACGATCTGCTCGGGAAGCAAAGAAGGCCAAGCCACCGAGCGCCTGAGACATCCCCACAAGTTGGTCGCGACCGGGCCCGTGCAGCACCCCCTGGGTGTTGAAGCCAGCAACTCGCTCGAGACATCCTCATGATCTGGTCGAGAGGCAAAGAAGTCCAAGCCGCCAAACAAGCAAACCGCATGCGGCATCCCCACAGTCTGGGCGCGAACGGGCCCGTGCGTGCAACACCCCCTAGCAGCTCTCCCTGGGTTACGGTAGCCAGCGCCTCGCTCGAGACATCCTCACACATTGAGTGCAAGGGGAGCCTGAGTGCGAGTTGTTTGTGCGAGTGAATCTGACTGTGAGCGAATCTGAATATGGGTGACTCTGAGTGTGTATGAGTCGGAGTGCGAAAAGTGAGTCTGAGTGCGAGTGTACGTGGGTTGGGTGCATGCGTACTCGCGAATCTCAAACCTGCGGGCTGAGCCCGCGCATGGATAAGCCTGAGTGTGAGCGAGCCTGAGTGCGAGACTCAAGTCTGTGAGTAGAGGACAGGGAAGGGAGGGAGCGGGAAGATGCCGAGGGGTGCGGGTGCGGAGGCACCCCAGGCAATCACGAGAACCCTGTATTTATAGGCTATGGGCACATGCCATGGCGCCGGGGGGCATGGGCTGGGCACGCGCGGCTCGCCGATCGCTGCGCACGGTGCGACAGCATCGGCCTGCGTGCGCGAGCCTGGCCTCACCCTCGCGCCCCCCCGGAGGCCGTATCCTGGCGCTGCCTCCTTCTTTGACAATGGGCGCGATCCTTCGCCCAGCCTCGGGCCCAGGGCCCCCACAGATCAATCCAGCTCAAGCATGCAGCAGGGATCTCCTCCTCCTTCTCCCCCTCCTCCTCCTCATCCTCCTCCTCCTCCTCCTCTTCCTCCTCCTCCTCCTCAGTGGTCTCGGTGACCGATGCGCGTCTGGTCACTCCACGAGCAACCGGCGCACAACTACAAAGAGCACATCACAAGACTGGCCCAGTCGGGAGGAAAGCAGGAACAAGGGGAGGGGGGGCGGGAGGGGGAAAACGGGCAGGGACGAAAGGGGGAAAGACTGGCCGAACCTGTGAGTGCTGCCTGGGACCTCATCCCTCAAGGAGCTTCGACCTCTCCGAGCTCTTCTTGGGGCTGGTACAAGGATTGCGGAGCTTCTCGCTACCCCTACAGGAAGCGAGAGCTCCACACAGTACACAGAAAATAAAAAAAGGGAACGTCCGAGCTAACCTCTCTGGCCCAGTGAAGCTTGCGCCTTTCACCTCCCCCCCCGTCAGATGGAGGGAAAGAGAGGGGTTGAGATCCTCGAATGGGCTGGAGTTGATCGGACATACTACACGAAGGCAGCGGCCGCACCTGAAGACATCTCCATGGCGGACAAGCATATGAAGGCTCGGCGGACTCTTCACCGCCGGCGGTTTGGGAGCCCTCTTGAGCTTACCGAAAATAGTTTCTGCACCTGGGAAACATGCAAGAACGTCGCAAACTCCTTAACACAGAGATTGGCACTGATTCTCAGCATCCTCAAAGGCTTGGACCTCCGCGGGTGCTAGATCATGGATCCTAGCTCCTTGCTTAGCCCACCAATCAGCCGCACTGGACCCTGCGACCCCGCTGCGAGCAACACTATCCTACCCATCATGGACTTCTTGATGAGCTTTGACTTTGAGAAGCGTGACCCAAGGGGAGACATACCCAAGATGACAAGCAAGTTCTCTCCAATATAAGCTAAAAGGTGACGGGCCCCCTAGAGCCCTCCGGGGTTGACAACACCCGAGAACAACGACTGGTAGTCAACGACGACGGGACTGGGTTGCTCGTGAAACCCATGGGCTGTCCGACGCAGAATCGCCACAGCCAAAGCCGCGTGCTCAGACCTGCCCGACGTTTACTCGAATTCGTTAGGGAGAGGACCATGCACTCCGCGAGCTACATTCTCGCCAGACATGTGGATGAGAGCAAATCCTCCACGCGCGATCTCTTCGCGCTCACCATGGAAGCAACTGCCATCCGAAAATCATGGGTCTTCAACGGCTGAACACTGGAATGGTCCACCACACGGGGTCCCCGCCGATCCCTCGAAGACGCTAAGGTCCCAGTCAGGCGCAGGGGTTCACACTTCTTGGGGACCTATGGTCAATCGCGCTGTCAAAAACGAATCCTGGCCCGCCTCCAAGATCTGTCCGATCACATCACGACTACAATGCTCAGTCCTAGCGGCAACTGGAAATTCATGGGGACGGATCCACATCCGACGCCACGAACTGTCACCAGGCTGTCCGCACAAAGGGCGTTCGTCCTCTACTCGACATCCCAACTTAATGACAGCCTGTGAGGTGGGAACCGAGTTAGACAACACTTGCATGTACAAGTTGCCCTGCAGTGGTGGGAGGGCCCGCGCTACTCTTTGCATGGCAGGTAGCCAGGTCCCTGCCTCACGTCAAGCAGGGTCAAGGGTGGCCCCAAAAAATTTACGAAGAAAACACTTGGCGAAATCTCTCGTGAAAGCGCTAGCATCCTGCTGCGGTGGGGATTCCGTGAGGATCCACTTCCGCTCGGTGGAACTCGGGGATCTTCTGGCCCGGGTCAACCCAGGTCCGGGTCAGCAGGGAACCAAAAAACTGCAATGCATAAAAAAAGCTGCAACGCAGGTCTTCGCAAACCCGGGTCTGCCAATATGCGCGGCCGCCTCGCGGCCGCGAGCGGCTCGCTAACCCAGGTCAGCCTGAGGGGGCCTTCGCAGGATCCCGCAGGATCCGGTGCCCTGGCTGACCCCGTTTGCATTGACCCCCGTCTCGAGGCCCCCTAGGAACTGACGAAAGTGGCAGGCCCTTCCCGGCTCCGCCCAGCCCTCTCCAACCATGAAAACATCGAGGACGCCGGGCCCATGGTGCGGCATAGCCAGGGGCGGCCTCCAGCGTGCTGAAATTGCGACAGAGCCGAACGAAAAGCCTTGCTCAAGTCACCCGGGGTAAGAGCATCTTGATCAACGGGCCCTCCATGGGGCCCAGGTTGAGAGACGCGCCGCCATTCCCAAGCGCGCCTCTTCAAGGGTCCTGATGCGAGAGCTAGAGGGCCACCTTCACATGTAGACAAAACCAGCGTAATATCAATATCGCTGCCTCTTTTGGAGATGCCATACATGCGATCAGCAGCCCGGCGAAACTCAATAATGTTGCTCGGGGCGACCCCATGGACTTCCATCACGTAGCTGATGGTGGGGAGGGCGCAGGTGCAATAGCCTGGGCTTGCATTTCTCGGGAACCTTGAGGGCCTTCCGCCAGGAGATACCCCGCATGGAAAGCTCCGTGCGTTTCTTGCGAACCCCTCTCGCGCGTGGGTGCTGCTGATGACGCCCCGCGATGCAGGAAACACCTAAATTGCCTGGACTCCACTCGGGGGTACCTGCCAACTCCTTGAGTCCTATCTTGACATACTCTAGGAGCCCGGTGGAGTTCGCCACGGCATAAATCTCATCGCTAGCTCGCGGCACCTGCAACGCGTCGCGGGTCCGACGCGCAAGGAAAGTAACAAAGAGCTTGAGCTGGCCGACGCGCGCCTGCATGGACTCGCGCCACGCGCGCATAGACAGGTCGTGTCTACGCGAAGACCCTGAGAAGTGGATTCGATCCCAGGGCCCGCGTGAACAGTTGGGGGCACGAAAGCCTTGGCCTCGCACGTGGCCGATGTACTTCCCGCAACTATGCCCCTAGTCGGCCACAGGGGCTCAGCGTAAGCCCCATCCAAAAGCAATAACCTCTTCCAGGAATGCGCCCCCGCGGTGACGCCCAGGACATAAAGCGGAAAATCAGCCTTCGTAGCCTGCTCCGCCGAGATGTCATGCTGGATCTGCTCATAGAAACTCATGAGATCCCATCGTAAAGTAGAGCAGTGGGATCATAATGCATTTCAGCTCTAAAATTCTACCCCCAGACAGTGCCGAGAGCCGAGCGGCCCTGCCCCATAGAGAACTCGGGTCCTAACTCACGCGGTGTCTCCCATTTACGACGCGGGCCCCTGTGGGTCTTCCTATGTGCTCTAATGAAACCGTTGTAGTGCCCTATCGGGCGGCGGCCTTCGTTGACCTGCGGCATGGGGGACACGGCAAGCTGGTGCATGGATAACGGCGCCTGACCAACCATATCCATCAAGTGATGAATCACTCCCAAAGAGTCCAAACCAGAATCGGAAAGCGCAGACAAAGGGTACTTCCAGATCTTCCAGGCGGACCAGGCACCTTTCTGGAAGCTGCACCAGGGAAAGACAATCCTCCTGGCCCAGCTGAAGCTTCAGAAGCACGCGGAGCTGCCTGCCAAAAACGTCGCTCTGCCACTAGACGCTAGGGTAGAGCGCTGGAGCATGCGCCATCGATCTGCGCGACTTCCTCTGGCAGGGCCGCGCCTGCGCGTAGGAAAGAGTAAGCCTGCTTGCCTTGGTTGCTGATTAAATCCGAACGCCATTCTTCCCCGGGCCGTTTCGCCTCCTTCCTCTCCTCCAGTTGTCCAACCATCTCCCAAGACTGAACGAAACTACAAACCTCGTCAATCAAAAAACAGGGATCGCCACCGCGCCGTGGATGCAATTACCGGCCAGCAACCCCAGCAAGGAACGCATGCCAGAAATCAGAGCCATGCTTCCAATGGCGCCGAAATGCACCTCCCTTCTATGGTAGGAGCAGAGAAAGCAAGTGGCTCCGATACTGAACGCGGTCGCCTGGGACCTGAAACGCCGCTCGAGCCCCCGAAGGCGATGGAGCACCCGCGAGATTGCCCTACCAGGAAAGGCACGTTGGTAACTCTTCGCGGCCAAGAGGGCCCGAATGCTGACGTGTTGGAACTCAAAAGGGGCTCCTCCACCCATTCCGTGGTTCGGGTGACTTCGGGAACTTCTCTCCAAGCCCGAGTCCTCCAAGCCTCGTGCGCATCGTCCAGAAGCCGGGCGCCAGCCTCGCGGGATACGCCGAGAAGCACGCAGGCAGAACCCCCCCCTCAAGCTGCTCCGAAAAAATCCCAGAGACGCCTTCGAAGATCGCTGTGATCTGAAGGTTCGCGGGGTGGTCTCACGGCAGGTTCCGCGGGGGGCGAACTGGTACTTCTTCGGAAGACGAACTCGAACATCAACGTCACACTGGCGGAAGGAGAGAGTGACAGGCCTGCGCGGGCTGAGGCAAATCCACGAGGACATCGCTAGAAAGATGGCGAGCAGGCGGCGCAAGATGAAGTAGTCTATTGTGGCGGCTGCGTCGTCGGCAACGTAAGTGGGGATTGCCAGAGCTCGAACCAGCCCCTGCAGCTTGCCGAGAGGTTCCCACGCGGCCACTGCACCTGGTTTAATATTGAAGCTCCCCACCAATGAAAAAAAACAAAAAAAAATGAGGTTGAGACCTATGATGCCCTTGGCGATAGCCTCTAGGACCATGAGGTTCGCCCCGAGAGACCCAATGGAGTCTTTGAAGTAAACGGAACACAGCGCAACAAGCCCCAGACGTCCATGGCGCATGAAACACCACATAGCACGCCCATTAACTAAGCAGCTGAAAATCCCAGGAGGGACCCAAACATCCGCATGGCCTTTAGCCACAATCATGGCCCCTCCAGGTGGATTACCCAACTCCGTAGACAGGCGATCCGAAGTGAAGACAGGCCACCCAGACCTCTGGAGGCTGGCAGTGCTCTGCAGGAGCCCTCCCCGAAGCTTATGTTCCTGAAGGAAACGCATCGAGGCCTGGGTCCCTTTTCAGCAGCTCGCGAATTCCGAGGCCTCTCGGAGTCCGAGAAGTCCCATTGGTTTCATCCTGCGCAGCTTTTTGCCAGCTACCCCCGTTAAACGTGACGAAAGATTTCGTTGAAACAGAGGGGAGCTTCGATGACTCACAAGATGATGGTGCTGATGCTGCTGCTGATGCTCCAGAAGCCGCTGATGCTGCCGGAGTTGATGATCCTCACCCCATCGCTCTCGGACCTGGGGTACCCGAAGATCTCAACGTAGCGCCACATATTCTACACTGCCGATGCCCTCTGTCATGAGCAGCGTGTTCAGGAAGAGACTTCGAGCTGGTCCGGGTCCGAGCCACTGGGGTGGTTGCGTGTCCCTGGCGCGCGTGGGCCTGGCGATCTGTGCCTGGCCTTCTTCGCCTGGGTGCGAAAAGCCTCGGGGAGAGCTCTCCTGTGCGATTCTGGCAGGCCGCCGACTGAAGCCAATTCCTGCCCCCAATCCTTCTCGTCAACCTGCATGGGCTGCTCCGGAACGGGTGGGGCGTCACCTGCATCAGGTGCATCCTCCCAAACTGGTCCTGAATTCCCTTCAGGAGCGGGACGAAACACCTCACTGAACTTAGACACCAGGGCCGAGCAGGCAACGAAAAGCGGCTGGATCGTTCTGGCCACCCAACCCCGAGATATGTGTCTTGAAGGCATCGAGGTGCTGCGCAAATTCATAGACCCTTGGGCAGCACAAGTACGACGGTGGGTACAATAACTTTCTTGCGTGCCCCAGCCAACTTCAACCTCCCCCGCACCAAGTCGGAAGCCAACTGATCACGCTTGTCCTGGAGGTCGGTACTGTCAGAAGTGCGATTTCCAAGAGGCGCTGCCATGTTCGATGCCCTCTTCTCCCGACGCCTAGCCTCCTGCTCCACCTTGGCGAGCTTCTGGCTGGCGGGGGTAGACTCGTGCTTCTCTGAGAGAATAATGTCCCATGACGAACTGATGATCTCACGTACAGCATGCGAGGGGAGATCCTTGTTCTTGCCATCCGCCAAATGCTTCAGCCGATGGAGGTCGTCGATGGGGTTCGGCTGGGACTGGCGCTGGTCCTTCCCCTTGTTTTCCTCACGATACTGCTGGCCCCGCTTTCCTCCACGATCCTGTTGACCCCAAACTCCCCCCTACCACTGACGAGGCTGACCACCACGAAGGACAGAATGAGGATACCGACAATCAGAGCAGAACGTGACATGAACGGGTTCTTCTTGCATCCGCATGTGGCGCAAATCGGGCCCAGTCCACCATGAAATTGACCCCCACCGCGCTAGCGGTTGTACACCACTGTACTCAGAAAGAGCGAACGAAGCTCACAAAGAACGCGGCGAACGCTGAAAGCTGGGCCGAGGCAACCAGGCCTGGAAAAGGGGCTGCCCTTACACCTCGACCCTCGAACCTCGGAAGACGGGACGGGGAGGAGTTCCCGTCTTGAGGCCAAAATGGTTATGGTTCCTCCTCCTCCTCCTCCTCCTCCTCCTCCTCCACCTCCTCCCACTCCCACTCCCACTCCCACTCCCACTCCCACTCCTATCCTTATTCCTTATTAGAATATACTCCTACTCCCCCCTCAGGCCGGCCGATAGGGGCCGCATCCGGGTGGTCCCATCCTAACCTGTAAAAAACAATACAAAATCAACATGTTTCTTATTTTTTCCTCTCGACATGGACGTCCTGTCGTCCACGGCGATAATCCATTGCAAAAAAACCACAAAGAGCACACGCGCGCGTTCATGTCAGAATCCTACCGAACACCGTGTGTTTGCAAGCATTTCAACATAAAAACATCAAAAACCCAATGTTTTTTTTTCACAAAAACAAAATCCGCTCTCTTGCTGAAATCATAGGAAAACCATAGGAATCTTAAGAATTCGGTCAAATCCAGCGATTTCACGTCATCGCGCGGTGCACTCGCGATGCTCTGTCATGCACCCAGGCCGCGAATCCTGTGCAAAAAATACCACGCGGGCGACATGCGCGCGCGTCGCCGCGAGCGCATGCTCAAATCCTTCTAGAGTCGTCGCCGTCATTGGCACCGTCGCATGGACGTCCTGTCGTCCACGTCGCAAAATGCATAGCAGGAATGGGACGCGGCGCACACCCCGCGCCCGCCCATCCAATCCGTCCCATTCTAATCTGCAAAAGACAATACACAGTTTTTGTTTTTCTTGTCAACATGGTCGTGCTGTCGTCACGTCGCAAAATGCGTGGCAGGAATGGGACGCGGTGCACACCCCGCGCGAAGGGGTGACATGTCGCTCTCGCCTCGGCGCCGCGCACCAACGTTTTTCCTCTCAGCATGGACGTCCTGTCGTCCACGTCGCAAAATGCTTGGCAGGAATGGGATGCGGCGCACACCCCGCGCCCGCCCATCCAAACCCCCCCTTTATAAAAAAACAATACAAGTTGGGGCCTTCAGGCTTCCTGCGGTGTACCGGGCCATTCTCGACTCGTCTGGCAATGCGTGCGCGGCATTCAACACGCGCTCGCCAGTTCCCGTCGGCAACCGCCATCGCGGCCGCATCAGCTGTACCAAACCGGCTGGCCGGTGTGACTTCGGCCCCCAGTTGTGCCAGCTTTGCTTCTTATGTTGTGGGAGGGCGGGTGGGACTGGGCATGCCATGCTTGACTCGCTCGAGCTGGCTAGCTTGACTCCTACTCCTACTCCTACTCCTACTCCTACTCCTACTCCTACTCGTCGTCCTCGTCGTCCTCGTCGTCCTCGTCGTCCTCGTCGTCGTCGTCGTCGTCGTCGTCGTCATCGTCGTCGTCGTCGTCCACCTCCTCGGGAACGGCGAGGAAGTCTGGTTGAAGAGGCTTGAGTTCGACGCCTGCTGGGGTACCTCAGGTCGAGCTGGGGGTCCCTCAAGTCGGGCTGGGGGGGGCTCGAGTCTAGCGGAGCCAACTTTGACCAATGAACGTTCTGGCAGCCTCCGGAGGGAGAAGGGGGATGAGGAGGAGGAGGAGGAGGAGGAGGAGGAGAAGGAGGAGGAGAAGGCTCCGGTCGTGATGAGCTTGCGATGTTGCAATCTTGTTTACGGCGTCGGACCTCGGGGTGCGTGCCCGAGCCCAGCCCCACCTCGCGCCCGCAGGGGGAGGCAGCGCGCCGGAGGCCACTCCGACGGAGGGTCGCTCTCGCGTGCACGCCAGGAGAGGGAAGCGTCGGCTACGCTCGGGAGTGTCTCTGCAGTGGGGGCCAGTCCACAAGAAACCCTTAACCCTTTGGGAGGGGACCTAAGTTAGGAGGGCCAACGAAGTAGGGACAGGGGGTCTTCTCTACAGATGTACCAAACCAAACCGCCCAAGTCTACGATCCCGAATGCGAAGACGGTGACTTCAGTGAGGCCACGTCTTCACTACAGTGGAGGCCAGTCCACAAGAAACCCTCCACAAGAAACCCAACCGTGGGACCCCAGGACGTCCGCTGATTCTTGGCGTGGGGGCGTCACGCTCTCCGCCGCAGAGCCATCGAAACCCAGGAAACGCAGGGCACCCTGGAGGGAAGCAGGGTGTCTCTTGGCATGGGCCCCCACTGCACGGCAGGCTCGCGTCGGGCCGACCTCGGCGTTGGTTTCTGACACCGCGGGGAGCGCTCGAACTTGAACAATCGACCGTTTCCGAAACGTGAGATCGTTCAACATCGGCCGATTTTTGGTCGCCGGTGGCGTTCAACGTTGAACGCAGGCGGCGGGGTCGCCGCCTGTCGGCACGACGCGAACCTGCCGTGTGCAAGAATGACCTGTGGTGCGCGGCTCGAGAAAAAGGGCCGCGTGGAAGCCAAGTCCAAGCGCGCAAGCTTGTGCAGGAGAGACCCCAATGGGCCCGCACCACGGGCCACGCCACTCTCACGCAGAGCCGGTAAAAGGGGAGAGAGAGCCCACCCCCCTGGCCGGCGGGCGCCCAGAGGCGGCACTGGGAGACACGGTGAGGCCAGCAGGGTTCCTGGACCTTGAGAGCTTCGAGGCTCGAGCCTCGGGGTTCGGACTCCGAGGAGCTCAGAGGGGGCTCTTGTGCGCATTCCGCCCCGACTCCTTCGTGGGCTTCGTCGTCACGGCCAGATTTCCATCGGCGCTCTGGTCAGAGCGCACCCTTTGGCCAGCGGGAGGTGCGGGGGAGGGCCGCGGCAGCCGCGGGGGCCAGACCCTAGGGAAGCGAAGGAGTTCGGCACCGCCACCACCGTCGCCGGGCGCCAGAGAAGGTTCTGTGGCAACTCAGACTGTGGCAACTCAGAGAGCCTCCTATGCCGTCTTGCTGGCTCTTGCGAATCGACGCTAACCGACGCTAAGTCGCCGCTTTCTTGTCGACTCTCAGACGCTAGCGCACGCCAATGCACTCTAAGGATGGAGTTGCGAGGACATACCAGGCTCCCATGAGTTGCTACCGAGGAAGGGTCTTGCTTCTGGTGTGGTCCCCCTGTTTTGCGGCGTCACGCCAGAGAAATCTCGAATCGCCAGGTCGGGTTGGCATTGTGGACAACCTTCCTGGGGCCAGATGGTGGTGGTGTCGCTTCTCCTCCCTTCGAAAACAACTGTCCAGACCTGCGCGTCGCCAGCACAATCACGACGAGAAGAGTCGGGTTTTCGGCGTTTGGGGCGCCCTTTACGGGGCACTAGTGTCTACGGGATTAAGTTCGAATAGCGACGCCTACGAAGCTCGAAAGGTTCGAGGTTCCCGAGTTTGCTGTGGACTCTGCTCTTGCTTCGTCGCCGCGGCTGGTCTGCAACCCTGGCCCCATGGCCCAGCAAGAAGAGACGCTGTTCAGAAGCCAGCCCTGGAGTCCTGGAGGGCCCCACTCTGGCCCGAGGCCCTACTGTCGCAGGACCTGATGCTGATGATGATGCTGCTGATGGTGATGATGCTGGTGATGATGATTGTGATGGTGGCGATGCTGATGATGATGAGGATGATGAGGATGATGAGGATGATGAGGATGATGAGGATGATGAGGATGATGATGATGATGATGATGATGATGATGTTGACGACGACGACGACGACGACGACGACGACGACGATGATGATGATGATGATGATGATGATGAACATGAGGATGCTGGTGATGGTGGTGATGATGATGCTGATGATGAAGAGGACGATGTTGCTGATGATGATGCTGATGATGGTGAGGATGATGATGGTGCTGCTGCTGCTGCTCTCGATGATGCTCTCTGGTGCTGTGCTGCTGCTCGTGTGTCTGCTGCGCGTGTGTCGGCAATTTGGCGCTCACTCCTTCCGTGGGCTTCCCGAGGGGGTCTTACGCCGCCACGGCCGGGTTCCCCTCGGAGTCCTGGTCAGAACGGGCCCCAGGACACTGGGGGGTGAGCGGAAAACCGACTCGGGTGAGCTGGCCCGAAGGCGCCTCACGGTGCACCCACAGCCGAAGCCGAAGCCACAGCGGAAGCGCGCAGATGAAACAGGGATGGCCCATCCTGCAGGCTTGCTTGACAACGCACCGGTTGAGCGCTGTGGCGGCCTCCACGGAGGAGGGAGGGGGAGGGAAGGGAGGCCACCCCCCCTCCTTTGATGGGCCTGTTTTCCACCACCACCACCACCATAAGTTGGAGGGGGGAAGGAGGTGGAGGTGGAGGACGAGGAGGAGGAGGAGGACGAGGAGGAGGAGGAGGAGGAGGACCCCCTCCCCCTCCAACTTCTGGTGGTGGAAATCGAGCCCATCATCCTTGGACGCCCCCGAGCGGTCCCCGCCACCGCCAGCAGGTTGGGGCCTCTCTGACGTGCGCAGGCAGTGGCCCGCCGGGCCCCCTGTGAGCGCCCGAGTTGGGCGCCCGAGCGGGGCGGCTTCGAGCCACGAAGGCAGGTCCGGCGCACGTCGTACGCAAGCAGCGCCGTCCGACCGAAATGAACCGATAGTTTGGGCCTCTGCACAGGCCCTCACTGGACCGTCAAAACAACGACTCGCGACGAAACACCAGCGCCGGGAATGGGTCGAGACCTTCGGGGGTCCGCGTGCAGTCGGGGCGCTGACCGAAGGAACCCTAAAGAAGGAACGAGGCCCCTTTTCTTCAGAAGCTGAACTTCGACTTCCCATCGAAAATCTAAAGAACACCTGAGTCAAACTGCGAAACAATTAAGGAACACGGAGCCCCTCCCCAACAAAAAGAGTTCCTCCCTCAGCGCCCCGACTGTGATGGAAAAGCGCGACGTTGGACTTCTGGGATAGCCTCTCGGCCCTCGTCGTTCTTCGGCGGCCTTCGACGGTATTCGGGCGGTCTTCTGCGCGAGAGGGATCTGCTGCACACCCTGCGCGGGTCCGATCCAGACGTTGCTGCTCATGACTTCCGTTTTCGGCTGGCAGCATCCCGCGGCAATCAGTAGAGGCCTCCTAGATGGGGTCGGAGTAGATGGGGTCGGAGTAGATGGGGTCGGAGTAGATGGGGTCGGAGGATCACGCCGCATCGCCGATGCATCGGCGAGGCATCGGCGATGCATCGGCGATGCATCGTCGACATCGGCGCTGCATCGGCGACGTCGACGTGAAGGAAATCGGTCTCCACATCGAGCCGTATCGGCGATGCACGGGCGATGTGGCGCGATCCCCCGACCCCATCTACAGTGGAGGCCCATGCCAAGAAACACCCTTCTTGCCACCAGGGTGCCATGGGTTTCTTGGCTTTCGCGATGGCTTTGCGACGGAAAGCGTGACGCTCCCACACCGAGATCGCGGGACGTCCTGGGGTCTCAGGGCTGGGTCCCTTGCGGAAGGCTTCTTGTGGTCGGGCCCCTGCCGCCCTCCGGCCCCATCCTGGAGGCCCAGGACCCAGGGAGCGGTACGCGCCACGCCATGCCGGAACCCTCGTTTGGGCGCCCGAGTTATCCGGGGTAACTCGGGTCCGGGGTAACTCGGGTTTGGGTTCCCGAAAAACGAACCCGAGTTATCCCTGACCCGAGTTACCCCTGATGATTCGGGGCTCTGGACGCCCGAGTTATCCGGGGTAACTCGGGTCCGGGATAACTCGGGTTCGGACTCCCGAAAAACGAACCCGAGTTATCCCTGACCCGAGTTACCCCTGATGATTCGGGGCTCTGACTCGTCGTGGAGGCCGTGGGCCCGCGCGCCGGAGGTCGCAGGCGTGAGCACGTGCGTAGGTGCGCGCGCGGTCGCTTCGATCCGGGCGGCGCCGCCGGCGCGTGCGCGAGAGGCTCCGCGGGGGCACCCACAGAGCTCCAAGGGGCCCAGGCACAGACAAAGACGTAGACGCAAATCCCAGGATTCTCCCACACGTTCCTGTGAGTTGTGGGTTCTTCATCGTCCCCCCACACACTTCCCATATTTCCCGATGTTTTTCCTGGGAGTCGACGATGAATTTTGTCTGTGTGTGCTGTCCCCTCCTGAGAATTGCCCCTCAAGCCAAGGGGGAGGACGTCGTGATGCCGGGGAGGGGGGCGAACCGAGGCGCACGCGGCGAAGTCAGCACAGCCTGCCGGCATGCGCCACGCCCGAGGAGGAGGCCGGTGGTCGTCGCTCACGTGTCGTGCGGGCAGCACCACGCAAACACAGGAGCAGAGAGACGCAGAGAGAGAGAGAGAGAGAGAGACGCAAATAGAGAGAGAGAGAGAGAGACCATCGCCCACGTACCCCCCCCGGGATAGTACGACACACGGGGAGGGTGTGCGCCTCACGTCGCTGTCGACAGCGAGCGCATCACCACGCACAAAAGGAAACTCAAGTCGCCAATGCGCCCACATGTGAATGCGCGCACACACACACACACACACGCACACACACACACACACGCACTTGTCCTACGGCGCGCTGACGGATTAGAGGCCTCCTAGATGGGGTCCGAGAAGGTGGGGTCGGAGGATCGCGCCGCATCGCCGATGCATCGAGGATGCATCGGCGACGTCGGCGGTGCATCGGCGAAGATAGCGTGGAGAAAATCGAGCTCCACATCGAGCGGCATCGATGATGCACCAGCGACGCGGCGCCATCCTCCGACACCTTCTGTTCGGACCCCATCTGGGAGGCCTAGACGAATTCAGCAAGCGTGTCAAGCAGAACTGAGGTGAAATTCGCTCAAGGCAGAAGTTGATCACCTGCTGTGGGAGCATGAACAGAGCTGGAGGTCTGCCAAATTCAAGCGTTGCCGACAGCCGAGCAGCTAGGACACGCACTCACACACATGTTCCTCCAACGCTTCGATGGGATTGCCATCCCTCGCACGGCCATTCCCGGTGTATGTGCTTGGTTTCGTTGGTATTTGCTCCCAACCAACCTGTTGTTGTGTCCTCGTTTTGAAGAGACAGCGCCCCGCGTCACTCACTCATTCCGCCTCCCCCTCCTCCCTCCTCCCATCCCTTGCACCCGTTACACGTTTCGTGGCCCCACAAGAAGCTCCACCGAAGGCCCCAGTGACAGGGTTCGCATGCGGCTCCGCCTCAATTTCGGCACACCCCTCACACGTTTCGTGCCCCCACAGGGAGCTCCGCCGAAGGCCTCAGTGGCAGGTTCGCATGCGGTTCCACCCCCAATTTTGGGACACCCTTTTACACGTTTCGTGATATATATATATATATATATATATAAATACATATACATATACATATATATATATATATATATAGATGTACATATACATATATACATATATACATATATATATATATATATATATCTATATGTATGCCCCAGTGGCAGGGTCCGCATGCGGCTCCATGCCCACTTCGGTTCAGCTCTCACATGTTTCGTGGCCCTATTGGCAGCTTCACCAAACATGATACGCACAATTACGACACTCACAACTGTATATGACTGGGTCCTTCGCCAGGCTAATTGTTTCGCGAAATGATCCAGGATGCTACTGGATGGTCGCCGCCAAGGAAAATGCACACGTCCGAGCGATGCCAAGTGGGGTACAGTCGACGGCCCTGGTTCCAGAAAAAGAATACGTAACCAGCTCAAGATAACACGATGTTGCTGTTACTCTCCCAAAGATGTGGGTCACGCTCGCGGCGAGCGTGGCGGATACGCTACATTCACACGCACGCAACGCCAGACTTTTCCCTCCGATGACCGCAGGGTGTCGACCCCAGAACCGCATACCAGCCTGTCCGGGTTGCAACCCCAGACGAGGCGCGTCCCGCTGCGGCCGTTCGTAGCTGTCCTGTTCGGCTGCGCGGGTTGTCCTCACAGCTTTGCCAATGTGTACCAGCCCTGCGTCGCCTCCCTCAGGGGCAACTCGAAAGGACCATCCCGCTGCAGCTCGAACGAGGCCAGCCGGCCCAGCTGCCCAACCACCGTGATACGATGGCGTCGCCCGCTGCCGCCGGGGTAGACGGGGTGCATCTCGTCCCCCGGCATGGCCAACGCGAACGCCGCCTGCTTGCTGTCGGTGGGAACCGTCCCGCCCTGCTGCGGGCAAGATTTATATCAAGATCCACTGCGTCTTGAATGTTCGGGCAAATGGTATCAAAAGGCCGAGGCGCTGTGTAGATCTCTCTATATATATATATATATATATATATATATGTAAACATATAACAAATGAATCTAACCGCGTCTAGCATCCAGGGGCCAGATTTCTGTTTATATCCACTGCGCCTCTCTGGTTGCTGGGGAAAGGAACTCAAAACTCCAAGACGCAGTGGATATGGACCTATGGTGCACATATTGCCCGCACCTGCTTAAGCAGCCGCTCGCGCTCCTCCTCGCCCAGAGCCACGGGGTAAGGCTTGATAGGATGGTCGCGCTGCAGGGACCTCTCCGGCGACGCTGCGTACGCTGCGACGCCGGCCATGCGCGGGCAGCACTCCGCGAGCTCGCTGAGGATAAACCACTGGGGCGGCACCATCATGATGCGCCTCGCTTGCACGGCAGCCAGGGCCTCCGCTGGGGTGAGCCACGCCAAGCTCACCTAGAGGCCCCCCAAGTGGGGTCCGAGTAGATGGGGTAGACGGGTTCGGATCGACCATGTGCATGCAGCTCCAGGCCCCCCCCCGCCAAACACAACTCCACAAGAAACCACACGAAACTACAAAAACCCAGGTTTCACATACATGTGCGATATCAAGTGGGGAGAACGGAACCACACGAAACTACAACAAAAATGCCCCGCGAGAGACTAGCATCGTCATCGTCGCCGACATCATCGTCGCCGTCGGCGCCATCGGCGTCTTTGCCGCCGTTGTTGGGGTCCTCGTCGTCGTCGCCGTCGCCGTCGTCCCCGTCGTCGCCGTCGCTGTCGGCGGCACCGTCACCACCGCTGCCGTCGCCGCCGTCATTATTGCCGTCGCCGTCGTCGTCGCCGCCGCCACCGTCGATCGCCGTCACCGTCATCGTCGCCGCCGCCGTTGCTGTCGCCAGTGTCGTCCTCGCAGTTGTCGTCCCCGTCGCCGCCGTCTTCGCCGTCTGCGCGGTTGTTGATGCCGTCGTCAGCCACCGCCGCCGTCGTCATCGGCGTGGACGCAAACGTTGTCGTCGGTGGCGTCGCCGTCGCCGCTGCCGGAGGCGCCGTTGCCACCGCTGCTGCCGTCGCCATGTTTGTCGCCGTCGCCGTCGTCGTCGCCGTCGTCGCCGCCGTCGCTGTCGTAATCGCCGTCCGCGTGGTTGTTGCTACCGTTGTCGGCGCCACCGCCGCTGTTGTAATCGGCGTGGACGCCGTCGATGCCGTCGTCGGCGTCGCCGTCGCCGCTGCCAGACGCGCCGTCGCCACCGCTGATGTCGCCGCCGTCGCTGCCGCCGCCGCTGCTGCCGTCGCCGCTGCTGGAGGCGCTGTCGCCAACGCTGCTGCCGCCGCCGCTGCCGTTGGTCGCCGTCCCCGTCATCATCGCCGTCGTCATTGCTGTCGCTGGTGTCGTCCCCACAATCGTCGTCGCCGTCGTCGTCCTCCAAGCCGCCCGCGTCGTTGTTGCTGCTGTCGTCGCCGTCGCCACCGCCGTCGTAGCGGGTGTCGCCGCCGTCGCTGTCGTGGGCATTGCCGCCGTCGTTGCCAGCGGCGCCGTCGCCACCGCTGCTGCCGCCGCCGTGTTTGTCGCCGTCGCCGTCGCCGTCGCGGCCGTCGGTCGGCGTCGTCGTCGCCGTCGTCGTTGCCGTCGCCGTCGTCGCCCCCGCCGCCCACGCAATCGTCGTCGTCGTCGCCGTCGCCGCCGCCCCCTCTGCCTCCTCCCGTCCTGGGGACCCCTCCTCGCCGCAGCCGCCGCCGTGGAGGCGCAGCGAGTGGGGGGTTTCCAGGGCGGGAGGAGGGTGAGGGGGAAAAGGAGTAGGAGGAGGGAGGGGCCCTTTTCCGGAGCGGCGGAGGAAGACGGGGCGCTGCTCGGGGGGCTCCATGGGACCCTGGGAACTCCTCGGGTCTCTTGGAACGTCGCTGGGATTCTCGGGGCCGCATGGGACCTCCTGGGCTGCCCGGGGCATCCTGGGGTCTCCTGAGGCCGTACATGACCTCTGGGGGCCTTTTGCGGCCTCAGAGGGACCGGCGGCGACGCGAGCGAAGGCGACGGGAGCGGTGGCGACGGCGCCGCTGGCAATGACGGCGGCGATGCCCACGACAGCGACGGCGGCGACGCCCACGACGACGGCGGTGGCGACGGCGACGACAGCAGCAACAACGACGCGGGCGGCTTGGAGGACGACGCCGGCGACAGCGACGATGATTGTGGGGTCGATACCGGCGACAGCAACGACGACGGCGACGATGACGGTGACGGCGACCGACGGCGGCGGCGACAACGACGGCGGCGGCGGCGACATCAGCGGTGGCGACGGCGCGTCTGGCAGCGGCGACGGCGATGCCGACGACGGCAACGACGGCGTCCACGCCGATTGCGGCGGCGGCGGCGCCGACGACGGTAGCAACAACCACGCGGACGGCGATTACGTCGGCGACGGATGCGACGACGACTGCGGGGACCACACCGGCGACAGCAACGGCGGCGGCGACGGCGACGGCGGCGATGACGGGCACGGCGACCGACGGCGGTGGCGTCGACGACGACGGCGACGGCGACAAAGACAGCGACGAAGACGGCGGCGACGGTAGCGGTGGTAATGGCGCCGCCGACAGCGACGTTGGCGACGGCGACGAAGATGACGACGACAACGACGGCATCGACGACGACGCCGAGGACGGCGGCAATGACGCTGACGGCGACGATGACGACGGCGACGATGACGACGCTAGTCTCTCGCGGGGCCATTGTTTCTTGTAGTGTCTTATGGTGGCATTATTTCCGTATGGTTTCATGCAATTCATAGTTTCTTGTAATTTCGCTTGGTTTCGTGTGGTTGTATGTTGGTAGGTTTTCCTTTTGGTGCACGCAGCCATACTTAGGCATGGTGGGCCCGCGGGTCCCTTAACGAACGCATCGCAACTGCATCGCCGAGGCATCAGCGATGTCGGCGATGCGTCGGCGACGACGGCTTGGAGAACACGATACTCCACATCGTGCCTCACCAACGGGGCAGTGGCCATGCGGCGCCATCCTGCGACCCCATCTATTCCGATTCCGACCCCATTTGGGGAGCCTAGATCACCGTCTCGTGACGATCGACGGCGGCCCACGCGGCGTCCTCGCCGGAGGCGCACCAAACGAAGAAGCGGGTGTCGAAGCCTCCCTAGATGAGAACGAGCAACATAGTAGACACCAAACCTTCGGAAGTCCGGGCGGAGCGCGCCAGGGGCGGCGCCAGAGGCCCCGCCAGGGGGGTCCCGCGCAGATCCGACAAATCCGCGCGGAGCTCCGATTTTTTTTTGTGTCTACGCACTTTGCTCTTCTTCGCCTTGGGGAGCCGGCCGTGCTCGACATCGGGCGTGATGAAGCTGCACCAGAAGCTTATCGGGCCGGGCGAAAGGGGGGATCAGCAAAGGGGGGTGGTTGAGAATCAGCTCACGTAGCTGACTTTCCCAGCGCCTCCTGGCGCCGGGAGGCGCCCATGTATCGAGCACTGGGCCCGGCGGCGGGGCCGAAACCAGCTGCATGCAGCAGATTTCGTAACCCCCTTTTCCCAATCCCCCCCTTTCGTCCGGCCCGAGCTGAGCGAGCCGCAGGCAGGCCTCACCCTGGCGTCTCTGCACAGCGCCCGGAGCTGCGCGGCGTCCCCGTGCACCCTGTCGCGCCAGGCCGCGCGCTCGGCAGGCCCCAGAGCCAGCGGAGGGTCGAGGATAGCGACGCCGCTCTCCTCGAACGCCTCGCGCACGGCTGCGCAGCGCACCGCGGCGTCCAGGCCGCCGCTGCCAGCCAGCTCCGCCGCGGAGGCCAAGTCCTCGGGGTCGACGGCGCCGCCAGGGAAGACCATGGTGTCCGGCATGAACGTCGACTTGGCCGCGCGTTTGACACAGCAGACGCGGTAATCGAAATCGTCGCCGGCGGGGTTGCTAGGCAGAGGAACCAAGAAACGGCCCAAGCGGAAACTTTCGGAGGCCCACGCATAAAGAGGCAGCCGGGGTCGGCGCCAAACCCGCCCCCCCTGGCGCGCGGACCTTCCGACAGGTTCTCGAAAGGCCGCTGCTTGTTCTTCTGGCTCAGGTCGCAGCCCGGGACCGAACCGCGAGGCGCGAGGATCACGACCGATGCCGACAACCGCCAGGACTTCGCTGCGGCGGGGGAACTGGCAGCCGCGGAGGCTGCCGCCGCCGCCTGCCGCAGCTGCGGCAGCTGCGGAAGCTGCGGCAGCTGCGGCAGATGCGTCGCGGCGATGCCGTGACGGGCGCCGGGAGCAACCGCCGTCGCCCGGGGCCGTGCGGCTTCTCGGGAGCCGCCGGAGGTGAGCCACGAGGGTGCACAGGGGCACGGCGTGACGGCCTTCATGACGCGCGGTGGCTGATACGCGGGCCGCCGTCCAGGCAGGCCGTGCGGAAGCGGGGCGCTCACGCGCGACCTCGCGCGGGCAGCGTGTGCCCAAGCGTCGGCTCTGTCGACCCCGTGCCTTTTTGCGTCGCCCGTGTGCCCCTGGCCCAAGGAGTCCTCCTCTCTTCGCGCCACTGCGGGTCCCGGGGGCCTCGCGAGAGGGCCTCTGGGTGGGGCTGGCGTGCAGCATTGCAGCAAGCGGATCCTGAGAGAAACGGGTCCTACATCCAGCGGCCTTCGCCTGGCACCAACTCTTTGTCCTGAGTCGTTTTTGGGACAGCCCCGGGGCCCGTGGAGAACCCTGGGAGACGGAAAACTAGGAACAACCTCTGGACCGGTTTCCCTCTTGACCCGTTTGCTTCATGGCTGGGAAAAGGCTAGCGCGCCCGAAATGCTGTTGGGCATCGTACCACGTCTACGGAAAAGGAATACGTCGCCCACGTCATCCAGAACCGACAACGGCCGCTGTGTCGCAAGCGACATAACTGGCTCAAAAGGACAACGTCCGCTTTGGCACGGACAGCGAGTCCTGTCCAGAATGGGCAGGAACTGCTGCTGGTCTTTGTTGCCATCGCTTCCGCACCCATTGTCGCAGGAGAATGAGGCTGGGCATGTCCCCCACAGGCGGATTTCGGGGGAAAAAGTGGTCAAGAAGATTCAAACATGGTCCAAAATAGTCAAACTAGTCGTCCCCATACTATGTTAAAACTATGTTTGAATGTTCCTCCAGGGCGCGCCCTACTTAAGCCCACTGTCGCAGGAGAGCCAGAGACCACCACCACCGAGCCCAGCCGGGCGGGGAGCCGACCCCCTCCCGGCCCCCTGGGCGCTCAGACGCAGCTCCACCCAGGGGTGTGCCCCCCCCGATGGGTTCTGGGCGGCGGTGGTGACTGCCTCTCCTCTGAAGTTTCGTTCGCGCCGAAGGGTGAATTGAGCGGGGTCGGGCCGTCCCGGCTTTTCCATAGGCCTACCAGGACGTGTTCTTCGAGCAAAAGAACGTTCCCATGCCAAGAGCACTGTTATCAGAACATACGGCCGGCGTGCTAACACACGACGGTCTAAGCCAGAAGGGTTGCAATAATATCTCGTGCAGACCACGGAAGGTTCTTAGAGCCTTCCTTGGCGGCCTATGGACAGGCCAGGACGCCTCGCCACTGCTTGAGTTAGGTTCGGCATGTCCTCCTACAGGCGGATCTCTGGAGGAAAAATTAAGAATAGCCCAAACATGCTCAACCATACTCGACTATGATCGAAACATCGTCCCCATGTTATTTTCTGGTTTTGAACAGTCCTCCTGCCGAGGGACAGGCCTCCGCTGGGCCGGCTGGGGGCCCGCACCCCCCGGGGACACCAACGAGCCACCTCTGGCAGCCCCCAGGCTTCGAGCACCCGCGACGAGCCGCCCATGGCGCCAAGCGCAGAGCGGTCGAGGCGCCCGCCTTGAGTCGAGATGGCCACGCCTGGCGTGGCCCCAGGCCAGGGTCTCCTCCTCCTCCTCCTCCTCCTCCTCCTACTCCTCCTCCTTATCCTCCTCCTCCTCCTCCTCCTCCTCCTTCACCTTCCCTCCTCCTCCTCCTCCTCCTCCTCCTCCTCCTCCCCCTCCTCCTCCTCCTCCTCCTCCTCTCCTCCTTCTCCTCCTCCTCCCTCCTCCCCTTCAACTCCCCACTCACCTCCTCCTCCTCCTCCTCCTCTCCTCCGCCCCCTCCTCCTCCTCCTCTGTCTCCTCCTCCTCCGCCCCCCTCCTCCCCTCCTCCTCCTCCTCCTCCTCCTCCTGCTGCTCCTCCTCCTCCTCCTCCTCCTCCTCCTTTTCCTTGGTGTCGAACTGGGCGGTTTTCCCAGGTGTTGGCCTCTTGGGGCCGCTGCGGGGCCCAGGGATCATCAAACATGGACATGGGGCGAGAAGCTTGTCCTGGCGAAGGGGTCTGGGCCAGTGGGGCCGCGCACTGAAAACAGAGCCAGCTGGGGTCTTCCTCTCTCCTGGGGTCTGGCGCATGGGCGCAGGGCGAAGGGAAAGCTGAGGGTCTCCAAGCACTGCCAAATTCTATAGTGTTCTGTGCTATGGCCCCGCGATGCAAGACAAACCGCTGCGATTCCAAACGACGCGTTGCACAGCAGCGGGTGAATTCTCTTAGGCAGCGCCACTGCGTCTCTCCATCCTCCTCGCCCGTTCCTCCAGGACGTCTTGCCCTGATCCTTTTGTCTGCGCTTCGCAATGTGGGAACATGGTCCCGACAGAAACGGCTGGAGGAGGAAGGAGGAAGAGGAGGAGGAGGAGGAGGAGGAGGAGGAGGAGGAGGAGGAGGAGGAGGAGGGGGGAGGAGGAGAACGAAACGGAGGAGGAGGACGAGGAGGAGGAGGAGAAGGGGGCGGAGGAGGAGGAGGAGGAGGAGGAGGAGGATGAGGAGGGAGAAGAGGAGGGATGATGATGATGATCGACCGTATCCTGGCGTTGCTCGTCCACGGCTGCCTACTTGAAAAAGAGTAACGGGCGGCAGCTAGGACATCATTAAGCAGCTCCTCGTTGAGCGGCTGACCAACGGCGCTGGTTGCCTTGGCAATGAAATACCCGCCGTGCACGAGAACGCACAGCGAGAGGGCTGATGCGCGGGCCGTCGCACAGACGGCGGAATTGTAATCGTTAGGGGCCACGAGGCCCATCGGATGAATGGGATAGGACGGAAAATAGAAGAGGCGACGCAAGACAGGACAGGCGATGTAGAGAGAAAACGCATCGGCCTCATCAAGACAACCGAGCAGGCAGGTGGAGGAACCACAAACGTGCGTGCGGCACGAGGTGGTCCCGCCTCCCGCGAGCATCTTGATAATGAACCATTGCCACGCCGAGCGAGAGGTGCGCAGAGTCACGAAGCACTCCCCCCACCGCACCCCAACCGACCCCACTAACTGCTGCAGCAGACTGAGGCCTTCGCGCGCCGCCGCCGCGGCGGGATGCCAGTGCACGCCAGAGACACCTGCAGCAGGCGAGCGGGCCGTCATGGCCTGGGTGCGCAGCGCAATGCCCTGCCGAATGCGACTGCAGTGAGCACTCCATTTGCCACGCAGCCAAGCCACAAGCGGCAGGTCATGAATCACCTGCTCCGACCATGCA